GGGGGGGGGGGGGGGGGGGTCCGGAAGCCTTCCCCTAAAAATTTTGAAATTTTAAGACCTTTAAAATGCAATTCTGGGCACTATCGGTGACTCTTCTTCTTCCGAAACTCTTTTTTTACCTTTCTTAAGGATAAAATGTACGGCAGAAATGAGAAACGTTTAAAACATATGGTATTATAAATAGTGACATATAGAATACACAGCAAACAATAAATATGTTACTTTTCAATTCTTTCCTACAAGGAGACATATTTTCCAAGGGAGAGAGGATATTTTCCTTGAGGGCGGGAGATTATTCTCTTGGAGAGAAGGAAATATTTCTTTGGGGGAAGAGAATATTTCCCCTAGAGGCCGCCCCCCCCCCAAAAAAAAAACTCTTCCCCCTCCAATTTCAAAGTTGAGGTTTAGCTCCTCAGAAAATACCTGACATGGACACCCCTGGAGTCCTGGACCCTTCAGCTCTTCCATCATTTCCCCCGTGTCTATCGGAACCACTCGTTTCAACCGATACAGCCTGTGTCACACTATCAAAACTAGCCATCAAAATATCAAGGTCAGATGTTGTGATTGGCTTATTTGATGACTCGGACCAATCACAGCGCCTTTGACCTTGACATTTTGATGGAGTAGTGTGACACAGGCTATAGGATCGCTCCATTTTCTCTTTGTCTCCTCTGTTTGTTGCTCTGTCTATATCAATTTCAATAATCAGCCCGCTTGAGGATCCGCAAGAGTGCGAAAAGCTCTTTTCCTTTTCAACAATTAATACTAACTCTCTCCAATAGAATGCTGGAACCAACAGACTATGAGCGAGCATGTTAGCAGAAGTTCGCCTTCAATTTTGCTGCATAGGCAACAAACATACTGTGGATCTTTTCGAAAGTTATGGGCTATGGTTAAACAGAACAACGACTAGGTAAGTTTCGTCTATCGGATGTCCGCCTTCAATATTGCTGCATAGGCAAAAAACATACTGAGGAGCTCGAATAGTTAAGTACCTATTCGAAAAATACACAATCATATCGGTCTGCGAGCTTTAATTGAACCGATGGACAACGTTGTGAACCCATTGGTAGAGATCATTCATCCGAATGTTTGCCTTCAATTTTGCTACATAAGCAACAAGCATACTAGAGGGTGAGAATAGTTTTTTACTCTTGAAACATTTTTCGCACAGTGAGGAAAAATCATGGCAGTTTTTAAGAATTATGTATGAAATTAATTATGATAGCTGACAGGAATCCAGCAACGCCGCGCCGCAAACCAAGATGCGTGGTTGTAGGCTTACACTGTCGATATGTAATATTTTATCACTAAAACTATAGCAAAATCGCACTCTGAGAAGTATCCTATCAATAGGATCGCTCAATTTTCTCTTCGTCCTCTTTGCCCATATCTTTGTCTATCGCAATTTTAATTATCAGCAGGATGGATCCGAAGTGTCTCCACGGGACCCAGTATTAATGCTTACACTCTTCACAACTCTCTTCGTAAGTAATATAATGGCGAACAAGTACCTAAAACTGTTATTCATTCCAGGTTTCTCGAGCGAGATATGAAAGAACGGTCTCAGCATGCCTCGGAATGCTGTCAGTTCGCTATTCTGAAATAGAATCTCCAGTGCCTTCAAAATGACAAGCGTCCAAACGCATGACATCCGTCTCTGAATGCCTATCCCCACATCACCAGGAATCCATCACTTCTTCATCAGTGATCTGCAGTCAAAGGCGCCTAGGTAGGTACAATGAGCAAATTTTCGTTTATCAACCGTTGACGAAATCCGTGAATTGTTTACGAAATACGTCATCAAAACGCATTTTCGTTCTCCGGTTGTAATTAAATGAGCGTAGCCTAGCCTTCCCCGCAAAATCGCCTGTAATTAATTATAATTTAATTTTTGTCAACAGCTTACAGTTTTGTAAACGTGCTCCGGGTCACATTATTGAACTTGTTGACGATTCTGGTTGAGAGAGTGAAACCCAAAGTGAAACCCATCAACCCCTGTAAACAGGCCACCGGGCTCTGATTGGTAAATGAAAAGGAAGTTGCCGAGTTGGCTCCCGTCCATTTTTAGGTGGGTCGAGTTGGCTCCCGTTTGAAAAAGGGTCCCCTCCCCAATGGAGAAAAAACTTGGAATTTTTTCGATGGAAAAAAGTATAAAATTAAAAAAAAAAAAACTTTCCCTTCACACTTAATCCAGGCTTAGGACTGGCCAAAGAGTGTAGCGTACTCAAAGGGCGTGTTTAAAAAGTTTTTTTTTTTAATTTTATTTTGTTTGTTTATATCGTCTCTCTCCGGACAATGGGTATTAAAATGTAGGGAATGGAAATGATTAAAAACAGGTTATTAATTTTACCTACGAATACTCACGGTTCGAATTTGTGAAACGAGTCTCTTTTAAATTCCTGCCTTCCCGATTATAAGTATCCTACTCCATGGCCATGTTCCAATGACAAGTCCTGCTAATTGGCCGTAGCAGGTGAAAATTAATAACCTGTTTTTAATCATTTCCATTCCCTACATTTTAATACCCATTGTCCGGAGAGAGACGATATAAACAAACAAAATAAAATTAAAAAAAAAAACTTTTTAAACACGCCCTTTGAGTACGCTACACTCTTTGGCCAGTCCTAAGCCTGGATTAAGTGTGAAGGGAAAGTTTTTTTTTTTTTTAATTTTATACTTTTTTCCATCGAAAAAATTCCAAGTTTTTTCTCCATTGAAAATAATCAGTTGCTTTTCAAAGTGACAACGTCCAGTGCCGAATACCTAATCATTGTTTGGGCGTGAGTGTTACTGCTGATAACTGATTTCTCCTCAGCACTCTTAATTTCTCAGACTTATCTCATGCATTTCGCACCTAGTGTCCGCCGCTTTACGCGCGGCGCGTCGCACACGCCACTCATTTCAAACGGGAGCCACCTCGACCCTCAGGGGAGGGGACCCTTTTTCTAACGGGAGCCAACTCGACCCTTAGGGGAGGGGACCCTTTTTCAAACGGGAGCCGATTCGGACGTTTGGGAGCCAACTCGGGTACGTCCAATGAAAATAGCGACCTCGTTAACGCGCAGGATAACTGTTTACGGATTTCGCCAACAGTTGACGAACGAAAATTTGCTTTAAGACCAGCATAACACCTTTGGGCACCTCTTTTTGTTTTCTTAACTTGAGTCAATTTTATATGAGTGTACCCTGTACCTGCTGAATACATCATAGAAAAGACGACAGACTTAATAAGAAAACCGATAATCATTGCTTTTCCGTGGAATATACTTAAATTCTCCCCTCTGTGATCGAGGCCCCTCCCTGACGTGTTTTGCGATACATCGATTGATCGGCCATTTAAACCTATGGAAAAGTATCGATAGACAGGGTGTTTGCAGCGAACACCTTAATAATCGATTATCCACCACAGCTTCTAACGGGGAAAAATCGATAGATCGCTGAGCACGCCACGCCACTACTCCCTTCCTTTCATCGGCCGGCAGGGCGCTTTATCGAGAAGTTATAACATTCATTTTACTGTCGTCTCGTCATCTAGGTACTTCAGTGTGCGCGGAGATACATTTACTTCGACCAACCACTCACTTACTTTACTTTACCAATTTCGACTCGTAAAAATTTGAGTGTGTGGAGAAAAAGCGAAAACTTCAAACAGAAACTTACTGAGAAACTGTGAGTAGCGAGTGCCGCATATTTGAAATAGCTCAGAGTTGGCGCCGACACGGATGATGTCATCCGGCGCCAATCGGATACAGTACGTATGCAGCGCGCATGCGCAAGCCTCCCCGTTTCGGGAAGTTGCAGCAGTAGCCCACCTCGGATTTTTCATCAGTGGCGTAGTGTGCTTCGATACATATCGTTTCCCTATTTGAAGCTATGGTAAAGAATCGATTTTTAAGGTGTTCGTTGCGAACACCCTGACAATCGATCCTTTTCCACAGGTTTAATAGGCAGATCAATCGATCTACCGGAAAGCACGCCTCGTCACTGGATTTCATCGCTTTCCCTCCTCCGCCCCCCTCTTACTGTTTGTTTGTTGTTGTTGGTTTATCTTTATTGTTTTGACTACGACGAGGTTATCTTCATTTGAGACAAGTGAACGAAAATCAAGTGGAAATCCTAAGCGGCCTAAGCGTATCCCAAGTGAGCAAGATGATGGACTGTTTCAGAACGAGATGTTTCCCTTTCTTGCCTAGACCAGTCGGTATTGGTATTAGTATTTCCTCCTTCCATTGACCATTCTGCCCTTTCTCTATGATTCTGCCCTCCATGCCTTCTTATCACCAACGATCACACTTGGAACAAAGGTAAGATGGGACGTATCCTCTCCAATTTACCTTGGAGATAAATCCCTTTTTAAGCCCGCACAAGTCTCTTCCTCCAATTCTTCTTACATTACTCAATGTTGGATACATCTTCATTTTGATTCGTAGCTGTGATAGAATTTCATTCATGATGCTGAGTCAGCTGCTATGTGCTCCCTCAGAGCGGAAAGTGCTCATATTGTTTACTTTTCCATGCCAGTGCCACTACCGCTTTTTTTCAGCCAAGGCCTCATTCCCCCTCAGTCCATGCCGTATAACCAGCCCCAGGTAGGGGTGTTCAAACGGATTCTTGCTGGCACGCTATCAGTATCGTCTTAAACCGAAACTGGTGGCAGTAAGGACAGTGGCGATGATAGCGTTAACCGTCCGCCTTATCAGAGTTTTGAGAGCTTGCAGGCAATGCACTGTTGCCCCATGTGTTGGTTTGTCTGATTGCCTGGCGCGGTTGCGTATAAAATAGATGTACTTGTGGCAACAGCTATTTTCGTCAGCTCCGAAAACTCAGATAGCTATCCGTAAGAGCGCTCTTATGGTAACTTTCTCCTACTGGAACTTTTTTGGTAGCTTACCAACACCCGATAGAACAGCCCTAGCCTCAGGCAACCCCATGTGTGAGATCATCAAACTTATGCCTGGGAGGGAATCTAACGCAGGACATCTTGATCATGAAGCCAGCACTTCCACTACCACACCTCTAGAGCCTTTAATTTTAGTTAGAGGCGTGGTCAGATAAGTTGGCCATTGTTTACTTTTGATTTGCAAGTGCAGTTAACAAATTTAGGCCTCTTCACAGACCGACATCCACTACTATCCATCTTGAAAACATCTGTCTCATGATCGTATTGTATAAAAACGACTTATCAATTATGACCCGGCTTTTAGAAGGTTGTGATTTCTATGCAGCCAAAATTTGAAGTGTTACAAGGTTTGAAGGTTTGAAGAAACCTATCCAAGCTTGTGTTTTCGCTTCTGCAAGAGTCAGATCTTTTCATGTGGTTTGTAGTGATGTGAAAACTCCTGCAAACCTGAAAGTAAACAATGGCCAACTTATCCGACGACACCTATAGCTCCATGTCGAAATGCTGTTTCCCTGATTTGCGTAGCACACTGATGTGCGCTAATCTCTTCTTTCTCACTCACACATTATCCTACGAAACACTTGGAATACCAAGAGAATTCACCCAGAAATCTTTGTCAAAAACTTAGCTCTTTCCATTCTGAAACATATTTGTCTTACACTCCAGTAGTCCTCATCGCCTCCAGATTGTATTTTTAAATAAAAGAGTAAATAATCTGTAGTTTTGCTTCTAAGTAAAATTTATGTAGGTGATACTTCTGCTTTGTAGAATCTGGGTGAAAGAGGAATTTACCCTTAAGTGGTATCATGGTGTGTATCCTTGAAAAATCGAGGGAATGAAAAATTTCACCACCATAAGTACTGTTAGAAGGACTCATAACTCCAGTAGATAGGGGATACTTTTTTTTTTAAATCCGTTTTTCAGGACATAATAACAACCAACCATAGTAATGTCCTTGCCTCTCGATGAAATGTTATGTTTCTTTTCCCGACTCCACTGATTTAACTCTGATTTCTTTTTTGTTGTTGATGCAGCAGCTATATCCCTCACGTTTGTTTCTCAGGTGTTGCTGAAAGTGAATAGAAGATGAGTCGTAGTAAAGCTGCAGCACAAGATGAATCTGGCGTTGATCCTCTATCCATGTCCATCATTCTCATGGAAGACATGATTGAAAAGCTGAAAGTTCTCAATTATGATAATGAGTTTGTCAACACTGTGAAAGTAAAGCCTCTAAGCAGGTAAGAATAAACACAAGGCTGCATCTTTTTATGAATGTGATGCAGCAGGGCAAACTGGGTAAAAGGTGAGGATAAAAAAAATGAGATGGATATACTGTGGCTCAGACAGATTGATTCTGTATCGTTTGGTGCTAAGAACTCCCAAAATTGATCCTTTGGCAATGAGTCAAAGCTTCAGGATGGATAATGGAAAATTCATAAAAACTGTCCATAAAATTTGCAAGCTCCTTAGCCAGTATCAGGAATGATTTTTTCAAAATCAATCGTGTTGTGCAAAAATGGCTAAGGTCCATTTTTCCAGTCCTGAGTTTTTTTGGGTTGATAATACTTTTTAAAGTTACATGCAACCATGAAAGTAGTGTTAATACTTGTTTCAGGATCCTCTCAATACCGAAACGAGTCTTTGCACAGCGCTCATGATTGTATCAACTTTTGAAAAGTATCATGAACAAAAAAACCGGAATGCTGGAAAAATGGAAAATTACACGGAAAAAATTAAATTGCTGATTTAACAATTCAATTGCTGAAAAAAGTGACTGCATTATTTCAACGTAGATTCACAAACAAAAAAAAATGCTACTTCAACCACTATTTTAAGTTAATTTTTTTTGGTGTACCTAAACTATAAAGGGTATGTTCATGATTTTACATTCATGTTGAAGTTTTTCAGTCTTGCAAGGATTAACCGTTTCCAACTTGTTCGTGGTTAATTTTAAATTAGGATTTGTTGTCCTTCTCTGTTCAGAAATACTTAACTTGTGCCTTTAAAGGCACATTGCTGGGACACACAGTCAAGTTCTCTTTTCAGTGCTTTTAATTTGTTGACATCTAGATGAATCTATTTTCACTTTAATGTTCCAGACATTACTTTGTCATCCAAACAAATCCCGGCGAACAATTCTTTATGTTCACATCCTTGGCTGTTTTCCTTATCAACAAAGCTGGAATTATACTGGAATATCCTCAGGAATATGATGACCCAAACTCCACTATTGCCAGTATCCTGGATGCAATTCGGCAGTTGGTAATCCAATATTTTCAGTTATTATCAGTCATATATTTTTCATCACCCTGTTACCACTCATCAAAGTGAAATACCACCAAGAAAATGGATTGAATGGTGATGCACAAAACTTCCCAAGTAGCAAAATGAAAATATTTCATGAAAAAAAAATTCATGAAAAAAATTTAGAAAATAAAGAAAAAGTAGCTAGCATTATGGAAAGTTGACAGAAATTTTAAAGTGAGTGTCACTATTTATCAAATGAAATAGGTTTATTTCCTGTCTACAAAACAGATCTATTTTCTGTCTAGAAAATTGATAGGGCTATTTCCTTAAAAAAAATATTCAAAAACCTGATTGAAAATAGAGAAAAAGTGGATATTTTCTTTATCTATTTCTTAGAAATTCAAAATTCAGAGAACAGATAGAGAAAACACAGAATGTAGACATCAAAATTGTCTGTTTTCCTTGTATTTAGTGTCTGGAACATAGACAGATGATAGAAGTTGTTTTAATAATTTTCGTACTTCTATTTGATACATCTATTTTCTTTCTATTTTACTTTTCTGTCTAGAAAATAGACAATTTCTAAATTAGCGCTTGACAGAAAATAGAACCCCATGCTATGTGGGTTCTGCAAGCTTTTTGCTCTTCAATTTATGTGTCAAGACCAATATGGTGGCAGAATCTGTAGTGGAAGAATACACGGCGGTGTCGCTGGATTGCCTCACTGCTGCATTTGCTACGACTCTTTCCTTCAGAATGTCTTTATTTTGTCACAATACCATTGAACCAACCAAACCTTGAAAGAGAAGTGTGGTCAGTACATAAGCGTCCCACTACCATTTTACTATCTATTATGGGTAAAGTAAAATTTGAACAATGGTTATGAACGGGATTGCTATAACATACTTTGAAGTAACTTACATGCAGAAGTGTTATTTCGCCACAGGTTCAGTTTCTCTTGCAATATCATCTTAATTAATGTTTTTTTTTAATCAATAATTGTGGAGAACGATGATTTACTGACCAAACCCTCTCGAGTTTGACAGACTTATCGTGTGCACATTCCCTGAGTGCCATTGCATAGTCACCATTTTAGAATTGTGCTGTCGAACAAAGTTGTTGAAAGAATTTTCACAGCTTATTAATTAATTCTTATTGCGAGTTGTCCATAATATGAATCCTTTTAACAATAACACATTTATTTTTATAATGTGCTGTGCTTTCATCTCTTTGTAGGAAATTGATGTAGATTTTCCTCCAAATAAATTGAAACAAGGTCACGGACAACATGTCATTTACATCTTAGATTCGTTGTGCAACAAGATCTTGGAAAACATAAAATACAAATGGCTCAAGTATGTTTTACAGAATATTCCTTTATTTTATTTTTGTGAATTGGTTATTTTTTCTACAACTTCAAGTAAGGGGAAATTCATCTGATAGTCAATGTGGTCACTATGACTGTCATTTCATTCACGATTTCAGAGTCTTCCTTGTAGGAATCACAGTTTCCCAGGAATGGGAAAGCTTGCAAATTTTCTCTGCGACACTTCAAAGTTTGAGAGGAAGTGTGGGGATCTTTTAAAGTTTCTCGGAAAAGTAGATCTTAGTTAGGAATTCCTAGGAAC